TAGGGCCCTGCAGAACATGCGCTATGGGTCATCCAGCTAGCACAGTCCAAAGCCAGCAAAACGTGGCATAGACCAAATTCCTTCCCCTCCCTCACCGCTTGCCCCCTGCACATCTGACAGGATGAGTGTGACAAGCGGAGGGAGAAGGGTCGTCTGGGAAGGGAAGCGCTCCTGATCCAACATGGGAAATGAAAGGGTGATTTCACGCAGGGCTCCACAAAGCTTGTGTGGTAGGATGGCCACCAGGATGGCCCAGAGACGGCTGGAGTTCCAACCTTAACAGGGAACGTCCTGGTTTTGAGTCCAATCATGTTCCCCATCCCCTGGCAACGGGGGCTAAGCCGAGCAGGAATCGCATCTTGCGCGGTGCTTGTCTAGCTTCGAGCAATGCTGCCGGTTCTCAGTGCAGCATTTCCCTCCTCCCCCCAAAAAGTGCACCCCTTTCACTGAGTCTGGGAGCATGTCCTCAACTGATTCGAAACAATCCCTGAGGCTGATTGACTTCACATTAAATCTAGAGAGACTCAGCTCCGGAATCAGCCGTCAGCAGAGACAGCAAGTACTGAACAATCGTTTGCATTAACGGAGCTGTAATTGGACCTAACTAACCTTACCAAATGAAACGATCAGGACAGCTCTGAGAACTGGCACCTTGACATCTCGCGGCAGCTAGAAGCCAGACGTATTAATTCTGCCCAGTGCATTGGGTCACAGTTCGCAGCTAAGACACAACAGGCCTTCAGGCTTACCCGCCAAGCGTGAAACTCACCCATGCCACACGCGAGGCCCCAAGTATCACATAAGCCCAGAAGAGGGATGTGGAGGCAGTACAGAGTTTCAGACAGGTGGTCTCTGCCAATGTTCCCTCTAAGGTGAGCACTCAGGCGGCCACCCAGGAGACATTCAGGTGCCACCAAGGTGATTAGCAGAGCACCCGCAGCCGCTAACGTGTTTCAATTGGTGGTGCACATCTGCACTTGTCTTGGTGAACATAAAATGTATTCCACACATGGGTGGGGAAAAAATTAGAGGGCACACTGGACTCGCTGCTCCCTTCTGAACTACACAGAAAGGGGTACCATGAGAATCATGAACAGGGTCACATGTGCAGTGAGTGACTCAGGGCCTCAGGGAGTTTTACCCCAACAGCTGTCCTTTGGGACCAAGATGAATTGCCCTCTGTTCTAATCCCTGCTTCGCACCTTGTGTAAAGACCAGCCGCTTGGGCATCAACCAGGAGGGTTGAATTCCAGCCAGACTTTCTCTCTCAGCTCCTAACCCTATTCACTTCCCAAATTCCTAAAAGAAAAACAACCTGGAAACGTTGCAATGCAGCTCGGCATGGTACAGCAGCCAACGTTAACAAAACAAAATGCACAAGCTTTAATTTCCATGGGGGATGCAGCACACCACCCACTCCCAGCTGCCTTCGGTAGCCTGCAGAACCACATCTGGCAAGCAGGTTTTCCTGCACACCTATCTTTGGAGCAATAGGGGAAGAAAAAGCAAAGAGCAGGACAAAGCCTGCGGAGGCGGAAAATCTTCCGTATTGCTACTACTCCTTAAACACGTGAGCATCCAAGAAGATACAGCCATGAGCACAGGGCCAGGAGGAGGCACAAATGTTTCTAAATATAAGGGTAGAATATTTTCCCTCTTTTCTTTGCTCATTTACTCA